ACCCCATCCTGATCCATGTCCATCCCACTGACCATTGCACCACGACCCCATCCCGATCCACGTCCATCCCACTGACCATTGCACCACGACCCCATCCTGATCCACGTCCATCCCACTGACCATTGCAACCCCATCCCGATCCATGTCCATCCCACTGACCATTGCACCACGACCCCATCCCGATCCATGTCCATCCCACTGACCATTGCACCACGACCCCATCCCGATCCATGTCCATCCCACTGACCATTGCACCACGACCCCACCCCGATCCATGTCCATCCCACTGACCATTGCACCACGACCCCATCCCGATCCACGTCCATCCCACTGACCATTGCACCACGACCCCATCCCGATCCACGTCCATCCCACTGACCATTGCACCACGACCCCATCCCGATCCATGTCCACCCCACTGACCCTCATGAACAGCTCGTCTGGCTGGCTCCAGGAAAGGCTCATCCCCAGCACCAGGACCTACCCAGGATGTATCCATAGGTGGCATTTTTATACTCCTCCCAGGAAACGAGCCCGTCCTCGTTGAGGTCGTGGCCCTTCCACTGCCGCTCCACATCCTCATAAATCCAACGCTTCTGGGCAAACTTGATCCAGGCCTTGAGCTCCTCCACCGTCACAAACCCGTCTCCATCCTCATCTATTTTCCCTACAATCTTCCTGTTGGAAACATGGAGAAATCCAGCTAAAGTTAAGGAAAACAAGAGGCTGTAGGGGAGGGAATGGGAAGGGGAAGAGGGAGCAAGCGGAGGTGGTCATGGAATTTGGGAATTCAACCATTTGGAGATTTTATCCCTAAAACCAATGTATAGTTCAGCTGCCAAAATCCCAGCTCAGCCACTCTTGGGCCACTCAGGTTTTGGTTTCTTCAGAAATTAAAGGTTTTCAGGGAAAAACTTCCTTCTTAGACCTTTGGGAAAGACCCGTCCGTGTGTCCTCCCACCAAGATGGCACCAGGCGAGGAGCACGGACTCGGTTTTGTACTAAAAACGGGAATCTTGGCTCTGCCTCTCCTGGTGGCACGAGGAGTAAGGCGAGGTGGTTATGGAATTTGGGAATTCAACCATTTGGAAAGTTTGTCCTTAAAACCAGTGTTTGGTTCAGCTGCCAAAACACCGGTTCCGACACGGAAATCTTTGGCTTGGCCACTCAGGTTTTGGTTTCTTCAGGAACTATGAATTTTGGCGGAAAAGCTTCCTTGTTAAAGCCCGGGAAAGCCCCACCCGATGGTGCCAGGCGAGGAGCACGGACACAGGTTTCCCTGGAGCTGGGAAGCAGAGCTCAGCACAGGAACCGGGGCCGGGGCCGGGCCGGTCCCAC